TGGCGCGTTTCTGCTGCAGGACACCCATGCCCCCATACGAGGGGATCCTGTGAGCTTGGAGGAAATCAGCAGTACGTTGGTGGTGGTCCATGCTGCAGGCGACACACCTGAAATGGATGGATCGGACCGCATTGTGGAGGTCTCTGTGGCTACTCAAGGCCCCTACACCTTCGTGACCATGCAGGATCCTGTTGTGCCGCCATACATCCTTATTAACCGGACAGAGAAGACTCTCGATTTGTATGACACACAAGATCGGTTTCTCGCTCAGGTTAAACCTGGATGTGTAAAGCCCTTTGCTATGGATGTGCGTAACGGCAATAGTCGAACACGCGTGTCTTTTGCAAGGGATTTTGCTGCTACATGTTTTGTTGGGCACAAATCGATCCTGGCTGCTGTTAATAGTCCTGTGGCTACTGCCGAGGCTAAGACCACTATGGAAATAGACAAAAAAAGAGAGGAGGAAACTTCAAGCTTTGTGGAATTCAATTTTCAACGGCGCATGACACCGCAGGAGGCATCCAACCCACTTGGTATTGAGTACAATCTCAGTCTTGGGCCATTTGGTCAACAGATTGTGGAGATTGTTTACTCCACGGGTAGCACGGAGCGGACACTGCACAAATACCAGCCTTCTCCGCCCTCCCCACTGGATGTCGTCCTGAACATTAACGTGCTTTCTATTTCCATGGTGATGACCGATAGAGATGTGCTCTTTGGGGCCATTGTTGACACACGTGTACACTTCAATCGAGAAGGCACGAAGGAGGTTTTTGATTTCTCCATTAAAAACTTTCAAGTAGATAATCAGACTGAGATTAAACCCTTCTTTGAGGTTGCTGTTGTTGCCATTCGTAACTCTCCGGATGTGACGTGCCTCTCTGGGCATGTAGAGCGTATTGTAGTTCCCGCCAAAGCCATATTGTATCTGAATGAGGTTCGTCTTGATGTTGTTCCCGTGGCGTTGCGCATATCTGACAATGTATTGGTTGCTCTTGCAGCATTTGGAGCACAACTAAGCACGGAGTTACCGTCGCGGCAAACGTCCCCGACGGAAGAGGAGTTGTTTGATAAGGCACAATCAACCGTGAGTGCCATGGATACACGTGTGATTATGGAGCGTATGGTGGTGAATCCACTTGTGGTGCGACTTTGGTTTGAGCGTGAGGTAGACGGTCATGACTTTATACGAGAACATATACAAATTCGCACTGCGGCTCTTGTGTCCATGTTGGTTCGCTCCTGTGAGGATGTACGGATTGCCACGCCCGGTATTGCTGTGCGGAAGCGCTCCTCCAGTGCCGGCCTGATGCTGAAGTGGCTGATTCAAGTTTACCTCGACGGTATTCGTAACGAAATTCATGGGATTCTCTTTCAGTACGCGTCATCTCTGCCTCTGCTTGGTGTGCCTATTAAACTCGTGTCGGGGATTGGCAGTGGCGCCATGAAATTTTTTCAGGAGCCTATAGCGGGTCTCTCGAGATCCCCCAAGGCTTTTGCGATGGGCTTTGCCAGTGGCTCCTCGGCCTTGGTGACGGAAGTGATGGGCGGTGGACTGGGCGCCGTTTCCAATCTTGCGAAAACGGGAGCGGACATCATGGGCGCCGCATCGGGTGGAAGGGAGCGGAAGCGAACGAGTCTACTGCATGGCATCACCAGTGGGGTCACAGGCGTACTCACGAAGCCGATGGAGGGCGCTGCCGAGTCGGGCGCCACGGGACTTGTGCGCGGGGTTGGCATGGGGCTTATTGGGGTTGTTACGAGGCCTATGGCGGGTTTGCTGTCGGATGTTTCGAAGGTTACCGGCGCCGCGGCGCAGTTGTGTGACGAAAGTTACATTCCGGATGTTCGCCGCCTGCGGAAACTAAGGGAGTTTCACGCGATGGGTGCGGTGGCGGAATACGAGTCTGTTCTTTCCGTCTACGAGTACGAGCGTGGGGAGCATGACGGGCTGCGCTGGAAAGGGAACACCTTTATTCCCACCGACGGCCCGCAGTGGTATCCGTACACGAAAGAGCAGGCTGAGCGCGCGCGTGGCGTGTCCTCCAGCAAGTGGAGCTTGGAGATGGCCAACACAAACTTTGAGGGATGGCGCTTCTCCACGAAATACTACGGGGTGTACACGAGAGAGCAGGTGCCAACGGCGCGGGTGCGGAGACGGCGATGGGTGGCGGTGCTCAGATCACCATTGACATCCCGCGTGGTGCGGCTCGTGCAGCGAGGGGCCACCACCGTGAGCGGAAGTCATGCTGCCGGCGGCGATGAGAGTCGTCGCGGGGGAGACACGACGACAAACACCGCGCCCACCCGCTCCTCGACGGGTGCTGCAAACGTGTTGCCTGCAATTCAGGGGCCCCGTTCTGCATCGGGGGCCGCGGTGTCTCACGAGGCAAAGACGCCAACGGCAGCGCCGGTGACGGAGGGCCAACAGCAGCAACAACAGCAGGAGACGCTACCAGAAGTATCGGTGCTGCCGCGCGAAACTTCCCTTCCCAACGAGCAGGTGGTGGAGCTCTACGAGTACGAGTCAAAGCTGCCGTTGATTGGATGGGGCAGTCGTTTTCTTCCGGCCGGTTGCTCGCACTGGCAGTACCGCGACGGCCGTGCAGCCCCGCGCAAGTCGGACTTTCAGCTGCGCCAGGGCTGGGTGTGGGCATCGGCGTGGGCGCTCGCCAGCGCTGGT